ACACCTGTATGTGGTTCCATCTGAATACCATGACTTAAAGGAGGTGTTTAATAAAGCCAAGAGAACAAGCCTTCCCCCTCACCACCTTTATGACTGTGCAATCGACCTGTTACCTGGAACCACTCCACCTAGAGGTCGTCTCTACTCCCTATCTGCTCCGCAGTCTCATGCTATGGAGGAGTACATCATTAAAGCCCTAAGAGCAGGTAATATTCACCCCTCTTCTTCACCCACACGCGCAGGCTTCTTTGTTGTGGGGAACAAGGATAGTTCTCTCCGGCCCTGTATAAATAATAGGGGACTCAACGACATTTTGGTTAAGAATCGATACCCTATTCCCCTCATGAATTCGGCTTTCGATCAGGTCCAACGTGCCAAGATTTTTTACCAAGCTGGACTTAAGGTATGCCTACCATTTGGTCCGCATTAGGGAGGGTGATAAGTGGAAGACTGTCTTTAACACCCCCACTGGTCAATTCAAATACCTAGTCATGCCTTTTGGCCTCATCAACGCCCAAGCCGTCTTCCAAAACCTGGTTAATAAGATTCTCAGAGACATGATTGGCCATTATGTGTTTGTCTATCTGGATGATATCCTCATCTACTCTGAGAACCTCACCCTCCATAAACAACACGTCCGTTCCCTCCTGTTGTGCCTGTTACAGAATCAGCTGTATGTCAAGGCAGAGAAGTGTGAATTTCATATAACCTCCACGTCCTTCCTTGGTTTTGTTTTATCCCCTGGTCAGATGTCTATGGATCCGGTCAAAGTTCTTGCAGTTACTCAGTGGCCGCCCCAGGCAACAGAAAACCACTTCAGAGGTTCTTGGGCTTTGTCAGCTTCTGCAGATGGTTCATCCGCAATTACAGTGATGGTTGCTGCCCCGCTTCACATTCTCACTTCTTCCCAGTTTAGGTTCGCCTGGAACACACAGGCTGACAAAGCCTTTAAACACCTGAAGGACCTTTTTACTTCTGCTCCAGCCTAGTCTCCCCCGACCCTGAGAGGCAATTTATCGTGGAGGTGGATGCCTCTAGTTCTGGGGTTGTCCTCAGTCAACGGGCCGTGGATGTGCCTTTTTCTCCCATAAGTTGTCACCGGCAGAGCGGAACTATGATGTGGGCAACCGGGAGCTCCTGGCAGTTAAGTTGGAGTTGGAGACACTGGCTGGAGGGCGACAAACTTCCCTTCTTGGTTTGGACGGATCACAAGAACCTGGAATACCTCAAGACTGCCAAAAGCCTCAACCCCAGGCAGGCCAGGTAGGCTCTGTTTTTTGAACGTTTCTCCCTCACCTATAGGCCCGGATCTAAGAACATCAAGCCTGATGCCCTCTGCAGGATGTTAAAGTCGGAGGAGGAGAGTCGCGACCAAACCTCTGAGTTTATCCTCCCCGATTCCGTCAGATGTGCAGTGACCAGGCTCGATCTAGAAAAAGAGGTCAGGGATTCCCTGGGAGAGGTTCAAGTCCCTGAGGCCTGCCCCAAAAACAGACTTTTCATGCCCGACTCCCTCAGGAGGATGGTTCTGTGCTCCCTGCCATAATTTGCGCCTGTATGATCGACCTGGCATCACTAAAACCATCCGACTGGTACATATCCAGTTTTGGGGGCCCACCTTGGTCAGTGATGTGAAGAGATTTTTTTTCTGCCTACTCTTACTGTGCCCAGGCCAAAGCCTCCCGCCGACCTCCCTCTTGTCTGGTTCGTCCTCTGCCCATTCCCTCCCAGCCTTGGGCCTGCCTGTCTATGGATTTTGTCACTGGTCTACCGCTTTTCCACTTTTCAAAAATGGTGATTCTGGTTCCTTTACCTAAGCTTCCCTAAGGAGATTGGGATAATCCTGGCAAGAGAGGTTTTTAGGCTTCAAGGCCTACCGTCTGACATAGTGTCAGACAGCGGCCCTCACTTTGTGGCCCGATACTGGCAGGAGATCTGTACCATGTTGGGCATAACTCTTAGTATCTCATCTGGTTTCCATTCTTAGATGGATGGCCAAACTGAGAGAGTCAACCAGGAGGTCAAGACCAAGCTCTGCCTTTTCTGTCAGTCCGATCCCTCCAAGTGGGCTCTGAATAAATTGTTGGACCTGAACTGGAATTTGAATTGATAGCATGCTATCAATGCCACTCCCTCCAGCTCCACTGGTCTCTCCCTGTTCTACGTACGGGTTCCAGCTGCCGGTATTTTCTGTTGAGGAGGTGGAATCCAGAGTTCCATCTGCCCATCTGTCTGCCCTGAGCTGCCAGCATGCCTGGAGGAGGGCGAGGAGGCCATTCTCTCCTCTTCCCAGAACCAGGCCCGGGCTGCCAAGTGGATTCCTGCCGAGCAGTACCAGGTCGGAGACAGAGTCTGGCTCTTGACAACAGCATTTTCCCTGAAGGTGGAAAATAAGAAGTTGGCACCTCGGTTTATGGGGCCGTGTCCCCATCTCCAAGGTGGTTAACCCAGTGGCAGTCCGCCTCCGCCTGCCCCCAGCGATGAGGGTCCATCCCACTTTCCATGTGTCCCGAATCAAGCCTGTCAAGACCTCTAGTCTCGCTCCCGCCCCCAGTTCCCCACCACCCACCCGCTTGTTGATGGCTCCCCTGCCTATAGGGTCAAGAGCAGGGGAGGATCTAGGATTCTAGGAGATCAGGGACTTAGTTCCTGAGGGTGAAGATGAGAGGGTAGACTTTTGAGTAAATCCCGTTCTAATGTAAAATATGACAGATTACTGGATTAAAGAAATTTCTAGTATACTGCATGCTATCACACATAACAATTCCCCCTCCATAACATGGGAAGAAATGAATTCACCTGCAAGTCTTTAACTGTGTTTATTCCTCTCTTCATCAGCTCTGTGGGTTTGGGGACGTTTAATCATTATTTGCCAAAGTTATGAGGGGGGAATCAGTGGACGAGTTTAAGTATCTTGGGGTCTTGTTCATGAATGATGGGAAGATGGAGCGGGAGATCAACAGGCAGATTGGTGCGGCGTCTGCCGTGAAGCGGGCGCTGTACCGGTCTGTTGTAGTGAAGAGAGAGCTGAGCCAAAAAGCAAAGCTCTCAATTTACCGGTCACTCTATGTTCCTACCCTCATCTATGGTCATGAGCTTTGGATCATGACCGAGAGAATGAGGTCCTGGACACAAGCGGCTGAAATGAGTTTTCTCTGTAGTGTGTCTGGGCTCTTCCTTAGAGATAGGATGAGGAGCTCTGTCATCCGGGGAGGACTCAGAGTAGAGCCGCTGCTCCTCCACATCGAGAGGAGCCAGTTGAGGTGGCTTGGGCATCTGATTAGGATGCCTCCTGGACGTCTCCCTGGTGAGGTGTCCCAGGCATTTCCCATCGGGAGGAGGCCCAGGGGGAGACCCAGGACACGCTGGAGGGATTATGTTTCTCGGCTGGCCTGGGAGCACCTTGGGATTCCCCCGGAGGAGCTGGCCCAAGTGGCTGGGGATAGGGAAGTCTGGATGGATGGATGGATGAGGGGGGTATCAAATATTTTAGCCATCTGATATAATCCGTTCACCATAACATGGGAAAAAGGAAACAAATCCTGTGAATTTTGAAACTGTCATTATTTTTCTAAATTTTTTAAACATTTATTATTTTATATTTTGGAATCCAAAATAGTTAAAATAAATATGACTGTTGGTTTGATGATCTTTATGAAATTTATTTTCATTTCTCAATTTAAAATGTCTGCAGTAGCATTGCACCAGACATTTGATTTGAACTGTTCTTGGAATACTAGTATATTGTTAGATAAACATTCAAATAGAAAATACATTTCATAAAGATCATCAAAGGGGGAAAAGATTATATCAGGTGGCTAAATATGGTTCTCCTCTCACAACTCTGGCAAATAATGATTAAATGTCACCAAATCCACAGAGTTTGTTGTTGATGAAGAGAGGAATAAACACAGTTATGGAGTTATGTTATGGAGGGGGAACTGATTGTTTCAGGCAGGTGAAATATTCATTCTCTCCTCTCCTCCTCCCATATCTTTAGGAAATAAAGAGAAACTTTTGGCAAATTCTCAAAAATCATTATATGTGATTTCATGTTGTATACTAGAAATGTCCTTAATTCAGTAATTTTAGACTTAGACAGATTTATTTGTCATTTTGTTTACAGTTTAAACAAAAAGAAATTTCCTTTAGAACAGATTTATTTGTCATTTTGTTTACAGTGAAAAACAAAACGAAATTTCTTTTAGAACAGCTCTCTTGACAATTTCCTTTTTTTAAAAGTGCAGCCTTGCAAAATAGTAATATATATATATATATATATATATATATATATNAGCCTGTCAAGACCTCTAGTCTCGCTCCCGCCCCCAGTTCCCCACCACCCACCCGCTTGTTGATGGCTCCCCTGCCTATAGGGTCAAGAGCAGGGGAGGATCTAGGATTCTAGGAGATCAGGGACTTAGTTCCTGAGGGTGAAGATGAGAGGGTAGACTTTTGAGTAAATCCCGTTCTAATGTAAAATATGACAGATTACTGGATTAAAGAAATTTCTAGTATACTGCATGCTATCACACATAACAATTCCCCCTCCATAACATGGGAAGAAATTAATTCACCTGCAAGTCTTTAACTGTGTTTATTCCTCTCTTCATCAACGCCAGGTTGTACCAGCAGAGGGAGATGACGGGACAACGACAGGTATAACAGCAGAGGGAGACGACAGGGGAGAACAACAGGCTGTAACAGCAAAGGAAACAACAGCAAAACCAGATCACATGCTGACAGGTTCAACAACATGGTCAAACAACATAAAGTGATGAATAATGCAATGCATGTTATCCCTCATGTAGACACAATACATATGCTCACAGCCTATAGACACAACATATGCATCTGACATATAGACTTTAAACCACTACATATACAACTTACATTACATAAGCACAATACATGGACACACCAGAAGACACATAAACATATTGTTGGCACTAATGGAACACCATAAAGGGGGAGGGGGGTTCTCTGACGTGATGACGTTGAACGGGCTGCGCCTATCTCGCTCTGTGCTGCGCTTGGTGGGGGAGTTAACAAAGCTAAAAAAGCTAACATTGTGTCTTTCCAAACCCGAGGAGTCGTTAAGGTATGTTAAACAAATGATGCATGAGTTTTGTACAGTTCTTTTTGCTTAATGTGTTTATTTGTATTTGCTGTACGCCAGACAGTTTCAAAAAGGAGCTGCAGGTAAGTAATATCAGTGCTAACTTTACTTGGTAATATCCCCCACTCCCCCCGACATATGTCATATGCAAAACTCTGTTAAGGTTACGATATCTTTTTGGTTATTCATGTTTTATGCCTTTTGTTACAGTTGTCTAGACCTAAATGAGACATGTTTATATTTTTTACCCCCTTTGGCTCGTTTCGGCTTGGTGAGAGTGCTCTTTTATCAAACAACAGGTTTATTGTGCAGTGCTGTTTATAATAGGCCAGTTTCGGAGGGTCCAACCTGGTCTGAACGAGTCTGCACCAGATAAATCCTTTTATTACCACAGTTAACGAAGCTGAGGTTGGCTTTCAAATCTAGCTTCCGATACGAGGAATGGGTAAAGGGCGATTCAGCTTATTTTGTCCCTACCTTCAGCATCTTTAATATATTCTAATTAAAAAACTACAACCCCTAGACACATAAAACCTGGACTAGATTTTTTTTTTAAACCACGTGTAGAAGAACTAAAACTATGTGTAGGATTTGAGAAAAATCAATAAAGTTTTTAACATTGTTTTTACTGTCCATGTCACACTAGAAGGGGTCTGGTTCTAATACTACAACACCTAGACACGTCAAACCTGGACTAGAATATTATAGACTTAGATTTATTTTGTCAGTTTGTATACTCGAGTGTATACAAAAGGTAATTTCATTTAAAACAGCTCTAGACAATTTCATTTTTTTAAGTGCAGCCTTGAAAACAGTAAAAAATACATAAAAAATAGTAATATAAATATATGACTGTTTATTTACGGTTCTAGCATACATTTTTTGTTATCTTTTTAATAAATAAAAACAACATTCAGCAGTCTAATGGCTGTGGGGAAGAAACTGTCATGGAATCTGCTGGACCTGCATCCTGCTTCGAAGTCTCTTCCCAGATGGCAGCAGGGAGAACGGTCCATGGTGGGGGTGTGAGGGGTCATTTATGATGTTAATGGCTCGGGGCACACAGAGCTGGGACGAAATGTCTTCATTTATTTATTATAAACTACATGTAGAATAATTAAAACCAAGTGTCGGATTTGTGAAACCTTTCTCGAGTTGTAATCATTCTACAAGTAGTTTATAATAATCTAGTCCAGATTTGATGGCTTTGTGAAAAACAACCGTGGAACTAGTGAGTGCCTAAGTGCTTTCTTCCAAGGCAACTTAGAGTTTAGTTTCCTAGTATTTGTTCAGCGCCAAGTCTGTTATAGATTAAACCAACCAGGGGGGCAAAGGGCAGTTTTCCTGACAATTTTAGTTGAGTGTCAAAATAAAGTTTTTAGAGAGTTAAGTTTTAAAGAAATATTGTTTGTTTTTGCAGTGAAATATCATACAGATCTTAGAAATATGAACTATTTCCAGAATACACACATTTAATTTTATCATATCTTTTTGTTTAAAGATTAGGCTATTAAAAAAAGAAAACTACAGTAATTTTAAGATATATAAATGTCCTTGATCATCGCCTGGATAGCAGTATTTTACATGGAAGCAGCAGTGAGTGACCTCTCCTTGTTGTCTCCAGGTCAGCAATGGCTCTCACACAGGTTTCCTCAAACAAGTGTGCTGGTGGCTTCCAGAAGGTGTTTGAACATGAGAGGTGAGACATGCATTCAGTGAAAGATTTGTGATGTTTGTTTGTTGAAAAGTTTTTCACAGAAGATGTTTAAACTTGTTTGTTTTTTGTCTACAGCACTGAGCTGAAGTGTAAGATGAAGTTTGCTATCTATCTGCCTCCCAAGGCTGAAACAGACAAATGCCCAGTATTCTACTGGCTTTCTGGTGAGTTTTAAGGCTGGTTTATGCTGAGAAACAAGGCCGTCTGCATGTGTGTCACAGTTAACTATGAGGGGCCGTTTAGGACAGAAACTATTTTTCCTCTCACGTACACCAATAAAACCATGCACACACCTCAGTAGACACACACACACACTCAACAAAACTATGTTTTCCTCTCAAACACAATACTATGACATGCACACATCACAGTAAAAACAGTCACACACAATCACAAAACTAAAATTGAATATATGTCTTATGTGTGTGTGTGTACACTAATACTAGACTGTATGAGAGGGCATAAGTGTGTGTGTGTGTGAACTAATACTAGACTAAATGAGAGGATATACATATGTTTGTGTGTGCGTGTGTGTGTGTGTGAACTAATACTAGACTGAATGAGAGGCTATACATATGTGTGTGTGTGTGTGTGTGCGCGCGCGCGCATGTGTGTGTATGTGACTGCAAGCCTCTCATTCAGTCTGCTACGATATCAGTCACATACACACACGCGCGCGCACACACACACACACACACACACATATATGTATAGCCTCTCATTCAGTCTAGTATTAGTTCTAACACACACACGTATAGCCTCTCATTCAGTCTAGTATTAGTTCTAACACACACACGTATAGCCTCTCATTCAGTCTAGTATTAGTTCTAACACACACACGTATAGCCTCTCATTCAGTCTAGTATTAGTTCACACACACACACACCCGCACACACACACACACACAAACATATGTATATCCTCTCATTTAGTCTTTCTGTTTACCCTGACTCCTTGTACGTAGAAAAGGGTGTTCTGGTTGGATGAGAACTCAGTTGAACTTTTTAGCATATATCCAAACACTGTGTATGAAATAAACTTAATGTTGCTTGTCCCCCACTAACACACACCTTGAGCACCTTTAGACACAGTGGGGTATCAACATGCTGTGGAAAGGCCATCTGTAGGCTGTGACCTAGAAGCTTAAAATAGCTGCCATAATTCAGGAAATTTTTAGGAGAAAAACTGTTGGCGTGTAAAGAGACCTGGTATCAGGGTGAAGGTCAACCTTTGAAAACCCTTAACATTTATATATACATTTCCTGTTTTACTATAGGAAAAGTTTAAATCTAGTTGAGAATGCATTCCAACTTGATATAAAATAAACTTTCCCATCTAATCTGCGATGAACATTTTGCAGAAAATAATACTATGGCAATGATGTGAGGGGAGCCAAATATATATATATCAGAGTCCCCACTGATTTTTGTTCTTTATAGATATACAAAAAAAAAAAATAAGTAGCCTTTTCCATCCACAACCCAATCTGGGCCTTTTTATATTGTCTGGAGCATAAAACTAAGTAAACAAGTATGAAGGTTGTGACATGACAACATGTAAAAATAAATTCAGCTGGGGGGAACTTCAGTACTTAAGGAAGGAGTGTCTTAGTGTCTTTTTGTTTTTATTATTGGACATTAACCAGTAGTTGGATGCATGGACAGACTTCCATGTTAGGAAGTCTTTCTCATCAGTAAAAGTAGGTTGCTAAATCTTATCGAATGCTGAAGAGGTGTGTTGTTAGTAGATTGTGGGAGGCGAGAGGAAACCCCGGAGGTGAGGCCTTTTTAAACATCTAGTCTTGCTCTGATCAATGCTTACCTAGTGTTTCTCTCTGCAGGCCTTACGTGCACTGAACAGAATTTCATCACCAAAGCAGGCAGTCAGCTGGCTGCAGCAGAGCAAGGAATTATCATCGTGGCTCCAGACACAAGCCCACGTATGATGACACACTACACACAAGAGTGCATTCTCAAGAGGAACCCCCAACCAAAAGATTATAAAGTGTTCCTTTGTGAGTTTGTGGGATAAAGTGGTAGCATTTTTATCCTCCTACCTCAGGTGGCTGTAACATCGAAGGTGAAGATGAGAGCTGGGACTTTGGGACAGGTGCTGGTTTCTATGTGGACGCCACCCAGGAACCCTGGAAAACAAACTATCGCATGTACTCGTATGTCACTGATGAGGTGCAGATGGTTAAATTCACCAACTTAGTTGAAAAAAAAAAAAACCTTGACTGTTGTCATTTAAAACAAACTGGTGCTGTTGTGGTCTTCATGTCAGCTCCCTAAGCTCATCAATGCCAACTTCCCCACCGATCCAGACCGGATGTCCATCAGTGGACACTCCATGGGAGGCCACGGGGCTCTCATCTGTGCCCTGAAGAATCCAGGCAAATACAAGGTCTGCTATGAGGCTCAGTCCAAGTCTGTTTGCCGTTAAGCTGTTTCTCTTTCAGATTTTGTTGTGAGAAAGATGCTGACTCCTTTTGCAGGCTGTGTCTGCCTTCGCTCCCATCTGTAACCCTGTACAGTGTCCCTGGGGTCAGAAAGCCTTCACTGGATACCTGGGATCTGACAGGTCCACATGGGAGGTAGGAAGCTTGCAGCCTTCGACAATAAACCTGCAACACCTGTTTAAATAAAAAATAAAAAAACATAAAAGATTTTTTTTTTTAAGCATCCTACAACCTTTTCTGTTTTGTTTTTTTCCAGGCATACGACGCCACTGTGTTGGCAGGTTCTTACTCCGGCCCTCAGCTCGACATCCTCATCGATCAGGGTCGTGACGATCAGTTCCTGTCTGCCAGCCAGCTACTCCCCGACAATCTGATTGCGGTCTGCTCGGAAAAGAAAATCCCTGTTGTCTTCAGACTGCAGCCGGTCGGTATAAACTGATACTAAGAGCCTTGTAAAATAATTCACACCTTTTTACTTTATTCAGGTTTCTTTTCATTAGTTTAGTCTCTGCTAAACATGTTTTAATTTATTCTTTGCAAAATAGTTTATTTTCTGGTCTTGTGACAGATTCTAAGTTAGGTTTAGGTCTGGCCTTTGACTGGACTGTTGTAAAACAAATACGTGGATCCAAACCCTTCTATGCTGCTACCTGTTTAGAGTGAACCTCCTCAACTCTCAAATGTTTTGCTACGTTCAGCTATTCCTTATGAATTTTTCTTGGTTTAGCTCCATTGCTCTTGCCATTGACTCTGTTTAGGAAAAGCATCCTCAGAGCCTGCCTCCACCATGTTACATTGTGGTTAGGCGGGAAAAGTTTTTCATATAGGGAAGCACATTACATTTTTGATTTTTGACCAGAGATCTTTCTTCCACATTACTTTTCCTGCATGGCTTTTTGCAAAGTACAAGCAAGAGTCCATGCAGATTTCTCTCAGCTCTTCTATGAAATAAACAAGTACACAACTAATAGGTGTCCTATCAGGAGATGGTACTGGATTTAATACATGCATGAGGGAAGAAAAGTGGCTAAATAGAAATGTGCCTCAAGCTTAACAATTTTCTGACCAAATGTAATTTTACATCAATGTCAAAATCACTATTTTGATTTGTTCTTATTTTGTTTGTAACACTAACAAGTGTGGAGCTGCTCAAAGGGTTTGAATACCTCTCCATGCTTTTCATAGATAACTGAATGCGTTCGTATAAAATGAACACTTGCATCATCAAAAAATGTTAAGCATCAATATATATTTTTTTGAAATTTAAATAAAAATGGTTTCTTCCTGCAGGGCTACGACCACAGCTACTTCTTCATCTACTCGTTTATGAATGACCACATCAAGCACCATGCCAAGTATCTGAACGCCTGAGCAGCTGAAGCTCTGCAACACAAACATCGGTTCACTGTGGCCTGCTGCTCTGCTGTCAGAACTTACAACCAGTGTCGGAAGAACCTGCAGAACAACCAAAATATTGTCCTGGAAACAGCTCTGTAAAGAACTGAGGAGCAATATGGACAGTGTGTTTGTTTGTAGCACTTATTGGAGCCTAAGACGAGGACAGACTACAGTTTACACATTCTGGGTCCCTTGCCTCTAAATGTTTCTGTACCTGATCAAAACTTATTAAATTACTCAGACTGTTATGTTGGAAGAGCAGGAAGTTACCAGTGAACAGATGTTATTGTATTAGAATAAAAACTTTTTATTGCTCTTGTTTTTTGAAGCTGTTTTTGTTTTCTGCAACACTGATATTGGAGCAGACCTTTGACCAGTAAGCATTATCAATGTTTTTGAAGAGAATTCTCTTTTAAGCAATGTTAATATTCAGAGACTAAAGACTTTTATTTTTCCATTCTGCCATTCCTCCTTTGGATCATTCCTTTATTCCAATAGGGTTTCAAACAAAAGTAACAGCATGACATAAATTGATATATAAAACAAATTGGGTTATGTTAAAGACAGTTTCCTTACATTCTTTTCATTTAATCTTTTATGAAGAACTCAAATTTAGTGCTTATATATTGATAACTTATCTATGATCTGCCAATATGTACTGTACTATAATTTCAGGCCTGATTTTGAAATCTGAAATTTGCATAACATCTAAAAGGAAAAGTTTCTGATTTGTAACTTGGAAGGTTTACTATCACCACTGAAAAATATGAAAGTTTCAGTTCAAAACCCTCAGTGAAAGGTACAAAAGATTGTGAAATACTTTAACAATATATATTTTTTGCATTTTTATTGGTTCTTTAGTAGATGAATCAAAACCACAGTACCGTGGGGGGAATGTAAAATGGCTAATCAGATAAATATTTTAATATTTCAAATCCTTAAAAGAATATTGTTCAGAAAATGGAATGAGCTATATTTTACTGTACTTACACATTTCAAGTTATTCCCAAATTTGCTTGAGTGTGAGAAGTAATCAGAACCAGCATTAATTCACTAAATGACTGGTTTTACAGTGATTGTGTTAACTGCTACTCCAGAGGATACAATAAAGGACAAGTTTGTTTTAACATGTGGGGTCTTTACTGATAAAGTGATGAAAAATACAGTTTTATATATATATATATATATATATATATATATATATATACAGTATTCACAGCAGTTAAGGCGACATTACTGAGACATTTCATGCATGCTGTACATGTGACAAAAAATCACACATTTTTACAAAAAGGCTGGTTAACATCAAAAGTTCAACGAACCTGAAAAACAAAAATTATTTTCTACCCGTCAAAAGTTTAAAAAACAACAACAAAAAACAGAATACAGGCAGTTTCTTAACAGCTGCTTAACATAAGCAGGCTCATACATTGTTTTCACTGGCATATTTCTAACCAAAACTCTGCCTTACCAGATTTTACCAAAAGTTGTTTTTATGCTTTTTCCTCCCCTAGGCACATCCCTGTGGAAGACTCAAAAAAATTAATTATCAAGTTGCCTGTTTCAGGCTCCTGAGTCACTGCAAACATATCCCTATGATCTGTTTGATTGAAGTGAATAGTTTATACCCCAGGGATGTTCAAAACCAGGAAGCCATCCTCCCCAGGTTAAAATAAGTAAGAGGGACAACACTGCAGAGCAGCAATTCTAGCTCTCAGATTTATGGGGATATATCGACCTGTCAGCCGCCCATAGTGTTGAATACATAAAACTAATAATTTTCATGATATCATGGTGAAAACAGCTGTTAATACAGTACATAAAGTAAAAATTCTCCACATGGTGATAAATATTTACAGGTTAATCTATGGTTAAAAAAAAAAAAAAAATCCAAAACAAAGAATGTTTGCTTTATAGACGACTAATCCATCCAGTAGAAGCCTTTTAGGCGTAGTTTGATTAAAAATGATTAATTTACTGCTGAATCTGGAAATTTATCAAGCCTCAGATACACATGAAAATACCCAAACTGGTCAACTATTCAAGAACGTTAGAAGTTTGTTTCTGGCACTCAAGTTTTAAACAAAAGGCAGACATGTTTTGGTGCATTCTTTAGAAGGGCCAGGACTCTAGATTTTCCACTATTGGCTGCTATTGCAAAAGAAAACTTATCGGATGTATTATTCTAAAAATCCTTCTGGTCCATCTGTAGTACCTATTATCTGCCAATAGGGGGGAGGCTTTCACCTCCCTAAATTTGGTTCAGTTTCTTCAAAAAATAACATGGCCATGGAGCTATAGGTTTTTAAATCAAAAACTCAAGCCTCTCAGCCTCATTTGTTTTCACATCTATGATTCTGTAAAAAAATAACGAGGTTGCTTTATTTGTGGCTTGATAGGATCAGTATGACTGGACCTAACTGAGGCTACAGGGCTGAGGATGTGAAAACAAGCTGGACAATTATGGTGGAAAGTAGTTAGGCCCGAACACAGAGGCTAGCCTTCCAACCACAATTAAAGGATTTTAAGACCAATAGCACTCAAAATTAACAACCTAAACACAACCAAGTCATCCTTACCACACTTATCTACAGTGCTCTTTGCATCCAGAATGTCTTCCTTTAAATATTTCTTTTGATCTGGTGTTTTATGACCAAATACTTTTTACAACAAGCTGAACTTGTCTGCAGTTTAATCAAGCAGCAAGAAATCCAAAAAGTATGAGACTTCCAGCTGATAACAGAAAGGATCAGCATGTTGGAGCTAATACTCTGATCTTGATCTAAAACATGTTGAAACTGGAAAAATTGGTAGCATTTGGTAATAGTAAAGGTACAGAACGGTATTCTCTAGAGTATACAAATTAATACAGGTGTTTTGGAAATACTAACAAAGTTAATCGTCAACATAAGTTGTAGAAGTCAGTTAAAATAAGAACTGTTTTAACCATAAAATCCTATTATATAAATAAATAACAGGCTAAAATGACTCTGCCCTTTTTATATTATCACTGTTGCAACCCTTGATAAAGCCTCGGGACAAACACAAACGTGTAGAAAATAAACTGCTGCTACAAAACATACTGAGAGTTCACAGTAAAAATTTTCTTTTTTGATAAAAACTTTCATCTGAAACTTTCAAAAGCTCTTCAAATAAACTGTAATGGGCTACAGTGGCTATCAGCGGTGTAAAGCTTTGCAGAATCCTAAAACTATTCTATTTTGTTCAGCTGTTGCACCTTAAGACAAAACATATCTTGAAACTGACCCCGTTTTATAGTAGTTTCTATATTTACTATTATGAGTTTTGAATGGTGTTTCATTTCAGTTAAAATAATACCCTATGGCAATATTAAGTTCAGGAGATTAAGCACCGTATCATTCAAAGAGACATTCTGGTAAATCATAAAACATTTAACCACTAATTTTGTTGCAGTTTCAAAAATCCAATGACGAAAGAGTCTCAGCCTTGTTAAGTACAAGAAACTAAATAGAAACATCTGGAGCCTAATATATAAGAAAGGGACAGCAGACCTACAGTAATGCTGAAAATTAAATCTAAACAAATTCCCACTTATCTAACTACAGTGTTCAATAAGAGCCAGTAGTTTTTTTCTGCCCACTTAAAGCTCCATATTTTCCAGGTCTGCAGTGCCAAAGGTCACACCCCCACACACATACTGTTGACGAAGCACACTGTGTAATAAGGCATCAACAGGGCAGTAAACCAGGCCCAGCCTGACTCACACAGTCTGCAGTTTCTCATCAACTCCAGCTGGAAGCAGGCACACACAAGCACACACCCACACACTCTTAACAGTCAGCAGGCCAGGGGAATGTTTTGCTACATTAACTCCAAATTTGCTCTTTCAAGGTGTGATAAAGAAAACCAGACTTTTTGTTCCCCAACCTTCAACACTATACTTATTTAAAATGTCTTAAAGACTTCAGCATTGCAGACCTACATTAGGAACAATAAGAATCTTTGACATGTTACTGAAATATAGTACAGGCTACTAGTGAAATTGCCTGACCAATGAAGGATATATAGCTAATATGTGAAAGAATAGACCAGATAAGATGACAAAGGTACTCTGTGGGGGTCAAGCTATAGTTGCCTCATCTCATAAGTGTTAGAGAAAATAAATATGGAGCCCTTAAGAGACATGAAAAGTGAAGGGGTGTAAATCCTTCTGAGGTTCTGTTAGTGTGTAATTGAACGTCTGTTCATACAGGCTTCTGAGCCTTGCATGCACAATTTCAGAACTGTCTTACTATAATCTAATAACATCACATGTTTTGGCACATTATGAAACAAACTGCATCTGACATAAACACACCAACTGGTCCATCTGATTCATTTTCAATGGAGAAACACTGGTTAGACATATGAGGACTGGTCAAAGATAAACAGAAACTCAGGTTAGGGTCCCCTCTGAGACAGTTTAAGACAGATACACCCGCATCAGGGATACGCAGAAAAACCAATGCACAGTCCCAGTTAACCTTTAGAAAATATACACACTTATTACACAAAATATATTAGAGAAAAATAGCTTTGGAGTATTTCTGTCTGATTCTATACAACAACTCAAGCCTCTGTTCTTCAGCTTCTCTATATTATAAATATCTTCTGGTTTAAATAGAGATAGATAAAAGCTGTCTCCCTCTGTCATAAGACCTTAGTATTTGGGTTTGATTCTCCTCAAAGAGCCAAAGGTAAAACACTGAAAATGTTTCAACTACACGTTCAGCACAAAATAACAGATTAAATCCTGTACAGAGCACAAAAATAATAATAAAAAGATACAAAATATGTGTGCATACACAGTGAAATCAATTAAGGCAATTAAAATATTCAGACCAGTAAGCCTAGACATGTCCAATCTTTGTCTAAATATATTTTAGTTTGAAAAACCCATTTTGTGATTTTAAAACTAAAAGCAGGCAGTAAAAAATAAAGGTTTGAGGGGAAAAGATGCAAAGTTCTGTAACAGAACAATTCAAACTAGAAAAAGGAACAAATTAAATTTCCAATTTACACAAAAAATATTTTGCATCTTATGTCTGAATGTAATATTCTCAATTTTTGAGTTTGACATTAAAGGAAAAACAATGTAATTTTGGCATTTTATGGCTTTTTTCATAAACAAACACATAGAACATGTTCTTTTAATCACAACACAAATTTCTTTTTGATCACTTCATATTCATATTTTACCAAGGATGGAACCAGCAAGTGTAAATATTTTCTTAATTTTGTTTACATTTTAAAAACCGTTTACAGGAAAAAAAAAAATAAAGATCCCAAATTGATTGTTTTATGGTTAAAAATAACTTGCAGCAAAGTAAACTGCTCGTCATCTATTTGCCTCCACACTGAATTCCAGGTTCCTCTCTCAGAGTCGATTAATTAGTTCCCTTTCTGCACCCTGACAAGAAATCAGTGCAGTTTCTGAGAATGATGCAGAGCATAGCTGTGGCTTTTTGAAGCAGCGTCAGTGTGCGACGTTCACTTTGGGGCCCGCCACTCACACCAGGAGGGGGGGTTTGGAGGAGGCCTCGTCCACCAGAGCCTGTACTGTGACGCACACTTTCACCAGACCTTTCTCCTCCAGGATGTGGTGAGGAAGGCATAGTTTGTCCTGAAAGGTGGAGACATGAAGGATTTAAAGGGGAGAAAAAAAAGGGGAGAGCTGTAAAAAAAAAAAGGAAACCAAAGGCAGAACCTGTGACAGACTAAATGCTTGTAAATACCAAAGTGAATGTAGAATGGGAAACTTTCCACTTTCTGGTTTGTATTTTTTTCTCATGAAACAAGATTCAATATTTGACATCATAACACAAAGAATATTGAGCAAATTTAAAATGACATTGTCAAACGATTAATGTTTTTAAGTAGAAATGTTATCCAAACCAATTGTACCCTATGTGGAAAAAAAAAAGTTTAAATCGCTAAAACTAAACGGCTGAGCCTCGAATAGAAGCAACAACTATCATCAAGTGTTTGAGACAGTAGTAAGCCTTTTATATCTAATTTTCCCTCCTAAATAGTTTCAATTCAATTGGAGGGATTTTGAATGTTTTTGAGTTCATGGCACAGGTCATGTGAGAAGCCCACCTCTGTATGACTCATAAGTGGACCTGCTGGTCTACTTAACCCTTTAAAGCCTAAACCAAGAATAAAACAAAACAGAAAATAACTTTTTTTTTTGTTTGAATTCCTTATTTGCCCTAACAAAATATGTAAAAAGAAAAAACAAATACATTTTTGATATTAATAATTTATTACTATGGGATAAGTCAAGATAATTTTTTGTGTAGTCTTCTACTGGCTGTTATCAGGTATATCTGATTGTGTACAATAGGATTTTGAGCAAAGTTTTAACCATTAAATTATGCAAAAGGTGTCAGATGCAAAACATTTTAGAAACCGTATGTATCAAATACGAATAAGATAAATACAATCAGTGAATAATTACACAAGTCATGGGTCATCCCATTCAGCATGGCAGTGTAAACATGCAGCGGTAACGTGCCTGCACTTATGCCCACTGACTGATTACCAGATGCAGACACCTGTGGTGGTAAATAGCAGAAACACCATATATATATATATATATATATATATATATATATATATTTCTGTTGAAGCATGGTTAAAAGCAAAGTCTGATTTTAATTTGTAGATTTTCACATAATTTTTTGATGACTTTTTTTTACTTCATTTCATTTAGTTTATTTAATTCCAGAAAATATACAAACAATACACACACTCCCGAATCAATACATATCTAATAAAAAGAATAAGAAGAAAGAACAAGCTTATATCTGCCCCTTTCATATCTGCCCCTTTTGTTTAAATTATTGAAATTATGACAAATATGTTATCTTATGCCAACAGTCTATCGCATCCCACAGTTTCTATGCAATAAAAACGTGGTCAACTATGTTACAATATCACTCCTTATTCCAAGAGAAATTCAATGCACCATTTACAAAAAAGAAGATGAAATTTCAGCTTATTTTTAATTCTGTATTTCCCTTGAAGCAATGCTTTACATAACTTTTGTTCATATCCTCTCATATTTGACCTTGACAGCCCTCCCACTCCTCCCCATAATGAAAAGACATAATTTTGGGGGATTTTCCTTTTAGAAAAGCAAGATAGGGTACCACAGAGTCAGTCAGTAAACACAGCTGACAGAAGACACATGGGTGGACTGGCACCGAGTTATCCAAAGGTCCCTGACAGATAACTTAATAAATTCTGGTAAAATCCAACACAAATCGACCTTTAGACTGCAACTCTTCTGTCCCGACTGCTATACATATGCACTGTGTAACTTGAAGCCTGAGTGTTATCCTTCGATTAAAAGATTTAACTTAGTGTTTTTTTCCTTGAGGCTTTTTTTTTTTTACTTTGAAACTTCGTCTCTCTTTCTGTCAGACCCATGAAATTATCGCTGAATTGCTGCATACTCCGACTAAAATAGACCTGCAGTTTTTCTCAGTCGGACCAACCATAACTCCCTTGCAGAAAATCGAGTCTGGGGTGTTTATCCCAATTAATTCTAAATTAGTGCTAAATGCCATGACCTCGTCCGACAAAATTTACTGTCAGATAGGGTGCTAAATCGGATTTGGTGTGTTTAGGGCTTTAGAGTAGGAATAAGGGTCGGTTTGGCAGATGATTATGAAGAAAACTCTCAAGTTACAGAAAAAAACAAACAATAAATATCTGTTTATGTTTTCAATATGGAAAGTTAAAAACTGTTTTTATGGAACAATAAAAACAGCTAATTAAATGCAAATTTTTAACAATTGAAGCAGGCTGAAGATGTTCTCCAGCAACAGGCTTGAAGTAAACAAGTCACAGAAAACATCTATGCCTCTACCACATCATTTATCTAGTTTTTTGTGTGCATTTTCTGTAACATTTCTCAGATTTCAATAAAAAGGTATCAATTTCGATCCTATTCGGTTTAAATACAAAACAAAAAAACAAATAAACAAAAACAAAAAAAAAACTAAACTAAAGACTAATTTTGTTTCTATACCTAACCAGCCTAGTACACATATCAAAATAAATTCCATACATTCAAAGACTGCATAGGACTTTTTAAGGATTGACTTGTATTTGGAAAAAAAAAAATACAAACTTCAGATTAGAAACAAACCATCTGATATTCAGTGGCAAATAGCCACTATATAAGTGACACCATAAGGCAGCCAAATACAAGTATTCTTCTGAGACATTTTTTAGCAAGCCAAGTGGTTCATCTCCACATTAAACTGACAGAGTTTGTAGTTAAATAATGAACTGAACATAAATGGTGTACTTAGTTTCTTGTTAAAAAAGATTAGAGCAGTGTGCAAGACTTAAAAAGCAGCACCACAAATGTCCTGTAGGTGATTTAGCACATTAATGCCTGATTCACGACAACATAATTATATTTTTTTTCCTCACCTTCCAACAAACTTAAAGATACCCTGATTATTGTGATAGCTCCAAAATACATCAATGAAATATTGTTACTGTGAGTGGTGTCTTCAGAGTAATTAATTCTGCTCGGAGAGAAGTAAGGACTACTCAAACCTCAGATTTAGGATATTGACAATGTTGAACTGCCTGGCACCATAAACAGGCTAATTTCCTTAGGACAAATGAGCTTGTTGAATATCCCTTGTAGACAACTTGTAGCTAATGCCATTTCCACTTATTCTGCCATTTCTTCTGTTAAAATTAGCCAACAAACTTTTACCATAGCTTCTTCCTTGTTAGCCATATCTATTTATTCTAAACTCATGTTTTATGTCAAGTCATTTGGGAGATTATCCCCACTGACATTTTAACTTTTCAAATTAAAATCAGTTTGTTGTCGGTACATTGCGTTTTCCCTCTGTGGCTGTACACTACACACTATAGCAACAAACCTGTTATACAAGTTTTTACAGTCATGTTGGGGGTCTGTTTAGAAAATAAACTGACAACTTTAAAACCTTGCCATGTGAACCATGCATTACCTTTGTGTCAAGCCGGCAAAAACATATGTACAAAGTTGCAAAAGCTGAAGTTAATTTTCTAAAAGGAAAATTAGTTTCCAAATAAACTAGTCCACTACATTGTAAGTATTGCACTATTCATACCATGAAGTTGATTGCAAAGACCATTTCAGTGCTCCTGCTTTGTGCACTGTTACTACCTTAAAGCCTGTAAAGCCATAGCACAGGACAGCAAGGTCAGACTAAGGTGATTGTTATTGATGATTGTCTGTTATTGTTTATTTAGGGCAGTCATCATTGATGCACAACACCTGCTGTTTAGCAGTTCCAGTTTTACCAACTCAAAATTCAGGGGAATAATTTCCATCCCAGTTTTAGGTAGCCCGCACCAACTTATAGGTTGAACTTACTAAACATGAATTATACAGTATAATTATACTTGCTTAAATAATCCTTTTAAGATTGAAATTTAGCTCCTCTTTCTCACTTCCAACAACTAAGAGTTCAGTAGATGGGGAGCAGTGGGGGAAGGTATTGCTCAGTTTCTGTTGAGGTTATGGCTTTATCATCTTCCAAGCTAACAGCAGGGGTAAATTAAAAAACAGGGTCAATCTTTTACAGTAACAGATACCCAGGGTCTAATATTTAGAACACATTTAGAGTGAGAGTACTGGTCTGGTGGGGTCAGTGAGTTTAGAGAAGTGTGTTTTCTTGGTCACAGTGCCCTCAGCAATGCTCTCTTTATTATTTAAGAGGAATCTTCCTTCCCCTCTGGTGACTGCTAGTGACAACACGTAATGCCACTTTTGTTCTCTGAATCCAACTCTAGATATCCCAGTGCTTAGCCAACTTAATCGTTTGGAAATCCCTTTCTAGAGCATGTTTGAGGACTGCTGGCCAGTTGTCCGATAAAAGTGTCCTAAAGTTCTCCTTCGTGCAACTAAGATACTTACCAACTTTTTAAGTTTACACCAAATAGATCTTAAATAATTGTCACTTTTCAGTTGTATGTAACATTGTTTCCTTTCTGTATTTAATAACCGATTTATAATCCTACTTTATTCAGATCCTGATTGATCAAGCCGAAAGTTCTAAAATGCGCATTATTTGTTAAGGTTATAATGGTCAGTGAATATAAAAGTCCAATGACTGATTAAACACCAGTCGTTGCAGGGTATAGCCCTATTTACTCTTTACAACCAAAACAATAAAAATTCATAATCTACACAAATATAAATAACTCCATATCATACTGGTATAATACTAAGATTCTAAAGCAATATAAGGAAGAGATCCTATAAACATATAATGTAAGTGTCTCTAACAAGCCAAGCATAAAGGTCCTTAATGAATTCTGGATTTACAAAACTGTTATTGATAACCAAAAGAGAAATGTTGCCATTAACTTGTCCCAATATTCACAAATTTACTGTATAAAATCACAAACAACGGAATTTGGTGCTTCTTCTGCATATTTACTCCATCTGTTCTATCGACAGTCAGTCCTTTTATCTTGGTTCATTCTGCTTCAGAGTTTATTCCGCTTTATTGCAAAAGCAGTAGAAAAACAAAGAGAGAGGCAATAAGCAATGGTGCCCTTACAGTTCCATGACATGGAAGTGAATCCCATTGCTCCATCTTCTTCATGTAATATGTCTGTCAGAGACTGCCTCCAAACTTCAGACAATTTGAGCACCACCACATAACTCTCAAGCAGGCATCAAAGACAAAGAAAATGATCTCAAGGCTCAGATTGCTGTGGATTTTGTTAACAAGACATACAGTGGCTGATCCTGTGGAGGGACAGGGCTTAAACTGGAGGGAGGAGGGTCTTCCAGGGCTTTAGTAACTGCTACGTTAGCTCAATCCAACTGTAGGCTATAAATAGAAGAACTAAGCAAAGGATGTGAAGCAGGCTAGAGCCAATAATGTCCCAGATCTGCCAAGCAGGAGGTGGGGTTTGAGTGGTAACAGAGACCAATGAGCGAGTTTCTGGGTCCCTGAAGGAGGCAGAACTTCCAGCTAAGATAGTCTTGTCAGGCTTCTTGTTTGAAGAGGTCGTATCCAAGGCAACCAGGGCTAGAACAGTGGCATGGACTGGGTGCAGGCGCCACTGTGTGATATCATAGGGCGTACAAAGGGATGACTGGCATCCCCAATAGGCAGGGACAGGTAAGGAAACAAAATGTGGGGTCAGACAAAAGAAAAAAGCAGGATGAAATAAGAAGCATAATAAAGAGAGAACAAATAAAGTAAAAAAAAAAAGATAAAAGTGTAAATGTGAGTACAAGAGTTATAAAAGAAAAAGAATGTGGGAATATAGTATGAAGAGAATGAGTGGATTGAAGGTTGAAGTGTAGACAAAGTTACACAGAAGAAAGAAAGTGCAAAACAATGAAAGGGGACCAATGGTAAAAGAAGGCAAAAGGAAAATATATGTTTATGAACAGAGAAGTTATCCAAAGATTTGTGAGACAAAGAGAGACACAGAGAGAGAGAGAAAGAAAGAAAGAAAGAAAGAAAGAAAGAAAGAAAGAAAGAAAGAAAGAAAGAAAAGAAAGAAAGAAGGAAAGAAAGATGTTATCCAGGCGAAGGGTAAAAAAAAGAAAAAGAAAAGGCAGGAGGTTAACCAATGGACACAAAGGTCAATATTCAAGTCTCAGCAAGTAAGAAGCAGAGGCAGGCAGGGGTTACCGCAGCAACCATCAGGGATGCTTACTGAGAGGATGTTCATGAATCCTGGTTGGACGTCTCTCTCCCAGTAAGCAGCCCTGTATCAGGGGTAGAAGGCAGCTGATGGGTAAGCTAGTGTAATTAGCACAGAAGCTTTTGCAGTTAAGCACTCAGGTTACAGGTAGCTAGCAACATCCGCAAAGAGACTTAAAGCTCTCAGCAAGCAGCGGTCGAGGTTATAGGTCAAACACGTAAAAAAGAAAAGAAAGCAGCATTCTTTTTTTAGAAAGAAAGTGGCACATACCAAGAACAAATATGTACTTAAAACAAATAAAACATGACAATTAATTAAAGAACAACATCTATATAAATTTGTCATTTTTTGTTGTTGCAATACTTCCAGGAATTTGTTTGAAAAATGTACCATATATCATACAAGTATCTTTTCTCAATGGGTTTATCTAAAAAAACTGGAGCAGTTAATTAAAACAGAACACTGAAACACTGCCCACCTTTTGGTTTTCAAATATCCCAACAATCATTTTTAAAGAAACTCTGACAGCCTAGAAAAAAAATGTATTTTTTCATAGCATTTTATTGGTCAGGAAAATCTGAAAGATTATGTGTTCTTTGCACTTAACCTCGCTAACCAAAGGCTTTGTTTGTTTTAAATTCTCATAGCAACAGCAAGTCTGGATTGTGGAAGAAAAGCATCCCCACGGCATTATGCTGCCACCATGCCTCGTTGTGTGTTCTGTATTTTCAGCATGAAGTGCAGCATTTGAAAAAAAAAATGTATTTTCTTTCTCCAACAAAGCACCATTTTGCTATGTCTCTCACAAGTCTTGCTGATCAATTCTCAGCTTGCAAACTGTCCGGTTAAAAAGGCTGCCATGTTTTGGTAAATTTCAGGTAATGTATGGACTGAATGCAAGATGTTCATATTGTCTTGTAAGATAACTAAGCCTAAATCCCCACAGAACTTTATTGCTCATTTGCCCTTCTCTACACTGATTTTTCACTATAATTACACACAGGACATTAATATTTGGTTTCAGAAGGCAACACATTTCACTGTTTTGTTTTCAGGTATTGTGTCAAATGGCTTTAATAGCATTTGTTCTGAAATTTAAAAAATTGCTTTGAAAGACAGAGATAAACTCTCTCTCAGTAGACAGTTAAACACAACTTAATGTGGCACAATAAGGAAAAATAGTATTCATCACATTGGTATGTTTCAATTCCTTTGTGACTTGCCTCTTTGATGTTTTGTAATTGGTTTATTTTTTTCCCATATGTTTTCTTAATAAAGTAAGGGATCCTGATGCATCTGAAATGAAAGGGCTGTTTTGCATGTATGCATCTGGCTCATTGAGGCTTTGGTCAGTACTGCTCTTGGATTTAAATACCTTGTCAGGGATGATTTAATTAATATTTTGCTTTGTAGTATTCTGTATTGTTGAGATTCAGAAATCTTTGCTAGATTTTATCTAATAACTTCCCAAAAGCTCATTGCACAACAGAACTTTTTAATGTTATCGTCTCACACTGCAGCACATAAACACAATCTACAACTTCCTGAAAGTTGTGTCTCCTCATAATGTTTCACATAAACAGATAGACATTTGCACAGAGACTCACAGTAAAGCTCAACTAAAAATCAGTCAGCACAAAGCGATAATGCTGTCAAATCTTTTCAAAATGCAGGAAGCTAGAAGCTGAAGGCAGTCATGATAGCAGGAATGATGTCAGCGTTACATGACAATGTTAAATGGCCCCATTTGAAGCGATGCGTTGAGGAAGGGGGGTTAAACCAGAGCTGAGAGATGGCTGACTGGTTCTCAGGTTTCATGTGTCATGTGCACTGTGGCACTTGTCTAAACAACGAGAGCTCTTAAAACGGAAGGATTGCTGTGTGTAAAAACAAGGAACCATCAGCTTTTCATCCCATTTCTGGTTTAGTGTCCTGCAAAAATCCTAATTCGGGATGAAATAATTATATCAAATTCATATAGATAGAGTGTGATTATTGTTTAACTTTTGAACAAAATCTCTTTGCAGGACACGTTTAGATATTCTTTTACATCTCATGAAAAGAAATCTATCATACTGAACAATGAAGGAAATTTGTCTCGTGAACTGAGGATGTTTTAGGTCTAACCTTGCTTAAAGTTAACAGGAAATTAAAACCTTTAAAATGTCTTAACTTTAAATGTTCTCTTTTTTAATCCTCAAAATCCTCATACGTTCTGAGCTCATATATGACGCCACACTTGCAGAATTTGGAGGAAAACATTAAGTTAATCCTCAGTTCACAGAGAAACACATAATAAAAAGCCCTTCTTACCTGTGGTACACCTATTTTCCTGCAGGCATCCAGGAAATTTTCTACATTTCTTCGACATTTTGCCATGCTGAGCTTGGGCTAAGCGTACAAAAGGAAATCCATGTAAACGACTCTTACTCAGCTTAGATTATTAAAAACTTAAATGCCTTGATTTTCTACACGTACCACTGCTGGAGAAGGAACATGGATGCTAGCCACAGAACGAGGGCGAATGTGATTGGCTAGATGGCAGAGCACGACACCATCCATCAGAGACGAGCCGAGGTCTTCAGGAAGGACAACTTTCAGTCTGCTCTCTATGATCTAAAGTGGAAGCAGGAGTCTGTCAGTGGGAAGGTTTGGAATCTCTGACTGAACAGAAAAAAAGACAGAGCTTCAACACTTCATTTTTACACTTCCTTCTTTTCCAGATCTATCTCTAGATTTTTCCAGCTGTTTTATAATATTCAGGCAAAGATAACTATTGGGATAAAGGTAACGGTTAACGGTAGAATGGTTCTAATTTCTGTTCCACAAGTCATAAAATATGGTTCAATTTGGTTTCTGATTTAACCAAGGTGGTAACTGCAATGTTTTACTTTGGTCCACTGTGCAGTGCCTGTGCCATCTGCGCGGTGCCTGTGAAACATAGGACGTACAGAAATATGGATTTAATAAAAAAGAAAATTCTGAAACAGATATTTTCATTTTTGCTTATTCCAACATTATCTAAAATACTGTTTCACCTGTTAATATTATTGCAGCTACATCTGCTTTTCATCTATAGGGTTAATACGTCTATGTCTGACTATAATTGATAGCCAGCTTTATCTTCAATGCTTAGCTGTTTTTTAATACTGGACTTCATTTCCTGCTCTCTATACAGAGATCTGGTTCTCTGCATGAGAACCAGAACTCTGACAATATCGGTATGTTGTTGTTTTATGTCGCAAAGCATTCAGAAGCCTATGAAGTCATATTTGAGCAAGTAAAGCAGACAAACTTAAACACCTGAAAAAAATACAAGGCAATTGTCTTTTTATACCATCTCCGAGACTGATTTTATTCTGAGAGGAAACATTTCTATGTTTACAACTACCCAGGCTAACGTACATTCACAAACATGAAAACCAAAATGTGTGGATTACTCAGAAGGGCTAAGAAGTAAGATTTTGGCCAACACAGAAAAAGTAATGTGTGCCAGAAAACCACTTCAACTACTTTGTTTAGAAGTATTGCATTGAATACCAATAAAACACTTTGAGATTATGGTCACAACTTGACAAAATCTCAAAAAGTTCAAGGAGCACGAAGAAGCAAACAAGACATTATAGATGAACCACCGCAGGCTCACATGGAGCTATAATTGGTTTTAAATCCTCCAGCAAACAGCTATAGATGCATCTACTTTTTTCAAACCAAATTCACTGCTATGGAATCTTATCAGGTTAGATGACACTATCTCACATCTCTCAGGTGCTCCATGAGCTCCAGCTCCTCACGCAGCTGCTCCATCTTCCGCCTCATAGTAAACTGTGGATCCACAGACTCCATGCTCTTATGGCTCCGCATGTACACTGCAACAAAGACAAAAGATTAAAAGAAACACAACAGACTGAGATCAAGGACTTTATAGGCCGGTAACCAAATTAAAGAACAGAGTAGACGGACCTCTGACGAGAAAAAAAGAGCAAAACACCAAAAATGGAGTAAAAATATTGAGGCATAACTTCCTTTGTAGGATATCTAAGCTGATTAATGTTAAGAAATATAAAATAATAAACATAACGCTCCAAATAATTATATAATTTATGAAGAAGAAGCAAACTAGACAAATGACAGAACAAGGAAGGCATGAGAAAAGGAAGAATGCAAATGTTTTGGAAATCGATACTGGAGAAAACTTTTAAAATCATTCTCAACAACAGCATTAAGTAGCAGTCCTTCTTTTTTCCTTTACAATTTGTCAAATAGTTTGCTAGGCAGACATAAAGGTGGGACACTCATTATGTGTTTTCAAACATATATTATGTAGGATGGAGGGAAATAAAATTTTAAGTTGCAGGAAATTCTCTCTCTGCTCATTGAGACAATTTTCGTAAAAAAAAAAAAAACGGAAATCTAAGTGAAGTCACTGTGAGCAAACCACAGCACTGTGGGCTCATTTCCCCTCGACAATTTCAAAGACACAAATAAAATGGGCCATAAAACATGCAGGAGCTTATGTAAGCGTGACATTCACATGCACCCACGCTAGCAGAGCTCAGAGCATTTTCTGCTCGGACTTTGTGTCCTGTGTGTTCTGAAGCACAAAGAAAATTCTTATATTATATTATATTATACTATATTATATATATATATATATATATATATATATATATATATATATATATATATATATAAATGTTTGTATATCTGGAGCAAGTAACGAGTCATTTCCCTCTGGGATTATTAAAAGCAAAAGCAAGCTGCTTTTCTTCCTAGATATGGTTGAAAGAAATCCAAGATACCTCACATCAGAGTATTCATCATAACCATCTGCTGTACATTTTATTCACAGAATAGATGTAATGATATGTAATCTATAAATTGTTAATGGAAATATAGCTTCCTTACAAAATCTGCCTGGTTTTGGCTTCATTGATAACATATTTTGAACAATATTTGATCTGTTCAGCAGCTCCCAAAATTAGTCAAAAAATTTTATTGGGGTTGAATTCATAGACATATTGCTAAGTTTTTGTTTAAAAAATGAAGGCTTAATATGAATCATCATATCAGAATCCTGAAAGAAATTAGGTTAATAAGATAAAAGCAGAAAAATACAGGCTGCAATAGCAGAAGCCTTTCTGAACATCATGTAGGCGGATTGAAAACTGTAAACATGCTTAACGTTGATACAAACACTTTATCTAAACACACCCACACACATATTCAGAGCTGACAGCTGAATCATTCACTTCCTCTTTGTCCTATTTTCTTCTAAATTTCTGAATCCCTGTGTGGTTGCTAAATGACCACTGGAGGGAGCTGCAGCATCATTTTAATAAATAACGATGCTTCAGGAGAGGTGACTATGTAGGATATGAGTGTTGTCATCACCACTTTAACCTGCATCTTTAAACCATCCTCCCAGCGCACATTAACAGGCTGATGCTCCCTATTGTAGAGCATATTCTAGGTTCGACTGATAATATCTAAAAACAATATAAGATTATATCAGCTTCTATCAGATATATATTTGCCTTCCACTCACAGCTGTGGAAGGCACTGGGATTGTACTTGATGGGCATATAAGAAGAGACTCTGAGACTAACTCAGAGAACACACTCTCACCTAGCAACAATCACAGTTGACACACAACACAGGCAAAAATGGATGGCAAACTTCTCACTACTGTCCTGTGAGATAATTGCATTTTCAATGAGCCTCAACAGCAGTATTGTTGTCATGAATATCAGATTCCTAGTCCCCATCACTCTACTACTAATACCAAGGAAAAAAAACTTCTACACCATTCTTGATACCAGCAGTAAAGAAATGACAAATAATTAAAGGCATAAAAAACATTTTCATTAATATGAAAAATCTCAACATGGAACATTTTTACTTAACAGAATGTTATTTAAAGTTTGATGAGGGTACTTAAAAGTGTGCAAAGAAATTTAAAATAAACAAAAATAAATCCAATGTAGTAATATTCTAAGGTTGTCTGACATATTCTTTTATTCTGAAAATAATTAGGAATCTGCAATATACATTACCAAAAAATATGCTTAAAGCAAAGACCCAGGAGACCTTCTGTAGTATACTGGATGTCTACTGCTTGTTTAATTTTGGATAACTCATAGATGTGCAGCATATCACTACTTCACTCATGGTCTTTAAATAACTAGATAGGGTTGATGGGTAGCCTTTCTTTGCAGGATTATGACAGAAATGCTTTGTGAGAGAGGTTTTAGATTATATTCCCCAAAAGGACCCTTACAATGAGATCAGTTATATCTTCAAATTTCATTCAGCAAAAGGCAGGTCCCAAATTACACTGTCGGTTAATGCATATTCTACACATACCAAAGGTCATTATGATCTAGAGGTTGGAGTTATATCCACTCTCATAAATTTGCATATTAGATAGCTAAATCTTTATCTTTCGTAAGTGCCAAACAGCAAATCATGTTTTTCTATTTTTTTTAAAATTAAGAATAGGTTTACAAGAGGTTAAGGCTGCCAAAGCAGGAAGGTCACTTTTTAAAAGTGGACATGAATCAGCATAAAGATAGTTTGAATAATCCCCGGCAAGACATTATCTGTTTTGGACCCAACATGACAGAATACGCTAAAGTGCTAGACAGCAAAAGCAGCAAATTGTCTCAATTTCTGCTTCTTTTCTAAAGGAAACTGTTTTAAACAGGAATATTTTGAGATTAAAAATTAAACAAAAAGTAAAATTTTTCTTAAAATGAGAAAATTTATCTTCACATCCCAACAGCAGTGACTATATAAAATATGAGGCTTAGCACTGACACAGTTTGAGTTAGTGGATTCACAAACTACTTTCAGAACACAGATTCAACCCTAGAAAAGTCTCAGGTTTGGCTTTACAGTTCTAACTCTATTCTAAGCTCCCAGTATTATTACACAACCTGGGGGGATATAACACACAAACTGATGAAGCCTGTTTCTGCTCTGAAGTAGGAAAAGGATCTCAAAATGACCATAACTAGGGAAATGTCTCCAGATAAGCTTTAATTGTAAAAAACAACTACAGAGTTTTAAATAACTTTTAATAGCTTATGTATAACACGTGTTACAATCTCTAAAGATTACATCATCTCTCTCTTGTTGCTACATGCAGCTTCTCTGATGGGTTCACAGAGGCAACTGATGTACTGATTAACAATGCTAGTCCTGTGTGTAATTGTGGGACTACGCTGGTCTGTCCTCATTTCATCTTAACCCTATCAGCTAAAATGAAATGTGCATAATACAGTGTTTAATATTTCAGAGGATATTTTAATAGCTGGACTGGGAATAAAAAAGGAAGACGGGGAGCCTGAATTCACTGTGAAAACAGCATGAAGGGGTTCATAGATTTAATTGGACTGAATTAGAAATATTTTCAGGTTTTATACTATCAACATATTGTTAAAAGTGTTTTTTAACCTTTATTTAAATTTTCTCTCTCTTCACCGAACTGTTATGCAGAGAGCAGCGGACACAACAGAGACCGAACAGTGTGGGTGTGTTTACTCCTGAGATCTGTGTGATGCAAGTTTTTTAAAGAAATATGCTAAAAAAAACTGACCTGTTAAATTTTACATAGTTTTTGTTTTACATAAAAAAGACATCCATCCATTTTCTTACAGGCTTATCCCAAGTGGGGTCGCGAGGGGTGCTGGTGCGTATCTCCAGCTGTCTACGGACGAGAGGCGAGGTACACCCTGGACAGGTCGCCAGTCGATCACAGGGCAACACAGAGACAAACAGGACAAACAACCATTCACACACACTCACACCTAAGGGGACTTTTTAGAGAAGCCAATTAACCTAAGGATCATATTTTAGGACTGTGAGAGTAAGCCGGAGTACCATAGAGAACCCACACATGCTCAGGGAGAACATGCAAACTCCATGCAGAAAGACGACGGGCCGGGACTCGAACCCAGAACCTTTTTGCTGCAAGTCAGCAGTTCTACCCACTGTTCCACTGAGCAGCCCCATATAAAAAAAAAGAAAAAAAAAATTAATATTGTAAAATTCTGAAAGACTGATTTGTACCTAAAATTTGATAGGGACGGGCATTTCAGTCTAATGCTGCGTTCACACCGGATGCAGCAGACGCGACAGAAGCAGCGAGTTTACATGCAAAGTCAATGGTTGATGCGCGTCACGGTGCAGGAAAAGGTCCCGCGGCGCGTTTTGAGCAGCAGGCGCAGCGCGTCTGAGCAGCTGAACCGGCGCGTTGGGCGCATTTAAGCGTTTGACGCGTGTGGCGCGCTGCAAATGCGCTGCTGCTCGAGATGGAAAAATTGAACTTTTGCTGCTTGATGCGCTGCGTCAACCAAACAGAGAAGCTGATCTGGGAGCTGGCAGGGAGAGAGACACAGCGCTGATGATACAGAGCGCTATGATCACTCCTCTGAAACAGTTTATTGACGCATAAATTAACTTAAAATGCAGAAATCTGCCGGCAGAATATGTTCGCTTTTATTATTCTGGTGCCTGTAGATCGGATTATTTAAATGAAAAACACCTACCAGCTGCTGCGGTGAACCGCGAGGAGGCGACCCGGCCAGAGGCTGCTGTTGAAGGGATTCCTACTGTCGGCGCACCACTGGTATGTGGGGGTCTGAGCGGCTCAGACAGAAATAACATTGGAAGGCAGGATTGTAATCTGAATGAACTGGCTGCACTGATGAAGTTTTCAGGTGTATTTTCTCACTTAAAATATATATATAATATTAGAACTACTTTATTCCCACTGATCACAGCAAATATAGCTGCAAGGCAAAGAAAGGATAGAGTAGCTCTGCCCAATGCGCGTCAGACCCACTTTTGCACCGCGCAGCCAGTG